AGTAGATATTAAAAGCTGCACATGGGAGTCGAATAATCGATCGGCTAGTTAAATTTTAAAAGGTTCGACGTGTCCCCTCGTAAAATGAAGTACGTTTTCAATGTTTCATCGATCGTGGTTATTGCAGTTTAAGTTCGCTGAAAGCATGTGTTAAATTCCCTGCGGAGGACTTGGGCGGAATTTTCCACGAATTATAGAGAGGCTTTGGATTAGGATACAAAATTTATGTAAAAATAGCTTATTGGATATAACTTATTATCTCCTTTAAATTACACATTCGGACAATTCTTTGAGCTGAGAAGCTATGAAGAGTAGCATCTAAGATAACTTATCTGTGACACGACAAACTAAGAATTTAAATAACAAAAAGGAACAATCATATCTAATTGCAATATCATTAACAATTTAATAATTTCTTGAAAAAATAAGATAGAAACTGGTATTACATAATTAATTTTTTTAGAATGAAATAGGAAATTAATCTTTTGATGAGTAAAGATTTTCTTTTTTCCTTATTACACTAAAGATGATCATTTTCGTATTAAGGTTATATAAGGCATTCTGAAATCTATTCGATTTACTATCTATCTCTCATAAAAGTACAACAATCCTTGCCACGATTCGTGATACTGTAAAGCTCGTTGCTTGTATCGTTATTCTTGTATATCCATCGACAGTTGTTTAAAGAAAATGGAATATGACAACGGCGTGGCGGCGGCAGGCGGCGGCGGTTCGTGCAAATCAATCGAATCGCTCCATGTCGAGTCTCGTTCCGTTCGTCTCTTGTCGCTTCCGCTTGTCTTGGCCTTCACTTCCGTCCTTCCCTCCGTAAACGCGCGTGCACAATGTCAGATTCGCAGACCAAGCGGATTTACTGCGCCCAACAGATAAACATACCGCCGACGTTCCCGCATATTCTGAAACTATACGCGAAGGCGGCGATTCGCACGCAGCCGCACGATCTTCTACGATGGACCGCCGCGTATTTCCGCGCTCTAGCGAACGGCGAGGTGCCTCCGGCGAAGGTACATTCCTTTTTGTGCAAACACGTCGTTCCCGCGTCAGTCGAGCTCTGCGATCTCCTTTTCTACTCGTATTACCTTTCCTCGGATCCATTATTCATCGTGCAACATGCGCAATTTCATGTTATGAGGAAAACTTAGCTTTGAAAAAACTAACGTAAGGATTTTAAATTCCGCGAGAAATTTTGAAATTGGACTTACGCGCTAGAGCTCCATCTCGGCAAATTTTTCTAATAGTAATGATAGTCTACTTTTCGCTCTAACAAGTTTCTTTTTAAGAAATATTGATGGGACTGTGTAAATATTTATTCTAATGTAAAAGAGAAAAGAGAAAGCAATAACTTTTTGATAACTAGAATTCTATGGACCTAAACATTTTTTTTTGTTATTATTAATCCAACTTTTATTTTTTTCTTCTTCTTCCCTATGTTTTCAAATTCGGACAGCGGAAATATTCTTATTGGAAAATATTTCTAAAAATATTTTGTAGAAGGCAAAAATTAATGAAAATTCCATGCGCGCCAATCGATCTATTACATCGCTCTTGCGAATATTCATTATTATATATTATTCGTAAAGCGGGTCAAAGTAAGGCACGTTCATCTCCGGAGTTCGTCCATCCGCGTTCTTCCGATGGATGTCTGTAATTATAAGTTTGCGCAATTCTAGTTGTAGGATAACAGAATTAAAGAGAAGTTACGAACCGGTGGGCCGCGCGATCTTTCTCTCTAACGCAATTGATCGATAATTAAAAGTTAACATCCGCGGCATCGAAATATGTTTAAGAATTAAGTATATTAGAGAATTAATATTTTATTGAAGCTACATTAATTCTTAAATTCGATGTTTTGTGCGTAAATTATTTCTTCCGTAATCATATTAACCGCAATATTATTATTCTCGTAATTAATATCATTTATCATTATTCGTGCGTTATCGACAAATTTGCAAACTCTTCATATAACGCAATTTAATGAATATAATTGTTGCATAGGTTGACGAAATTAATTCGATGGCCAATCAAGTTTTTTACAGTCATATCGATTGTCATTATTTTTAATTTTATTTGTGCAAAATTTATTTTTGTACGTATCAAATATTTAGTAAAATTTCTAAATTTTGTTAACTTTTACTTGTTGCAAATTAAAAACGTCACATATATTCTCTTAATGACAAGTTTATCTCAAATTTAATGTGGATGTTATTCTATCCTTTGCTCAAAAATTCGTTTGGCCAGAGCTTTTTGATGTTAAATGTTAAATAACTTCTCAATTATACTATGGCTTAAATGTTCGCAAACGTGAAATTGGTTTCAATTTTGTCAAATTATACGTTGCTAAAGTTGCACCAATGTATCCTCTCGTGAAACATCCATGGTGCTCTATACCATTTTCCTCTTCACTCCTCTCTCTCTCTCTCTCTCTCTCTCTCTCTCTTTCTTCATGACATTCGTGCATTTTACCGATTAATTTACAGTGCGCGTAATCTAATTTGCAACTATTATTCACAACAACGCGCGCACGCGTCATCGTTATCATTGTTAACTTGAATTCCTCGTTTATCTGTGGCATATCGCGTTACCGCGCAGCTGACACGCGATACCTGTTTATAGCGCGATATTTCCGACGTACGTACGTACGTACATCGCTTTCAGAATAGGAAGCGAACGAGGGAGAGAGCACTGAAGACAAATATCAGCGTAATTCGTGCTCCTCAGAACGAGAAGCGTTTCAACGGAAATGCCGCGCGACAGACACGTCTAGTACGCGGTGAAATCGATTCGTAACGATTTCGCATTACGCATAATGTATATACGTACGCACGACGGACACATTATCGATCACCAAACTACGGTCGATTGGTAACTGCCGTGAATAATCTCGGCCGCCACGATATTGTCCCTATAGGACAGACTGGAGTATCCACCCTTTATGCACCCCTCGGGCATCACGCCCGGCTACCTGAGGACCCTACTCAACAGATTCGGTCATGTGAACAAGGTTTGCCTGAAAGCCCTCCTGCAGGAATGGCAAGGGTTGGATTTACCCGAGACAAGTCTTTATCAGCTTTTTACGGTCGCCGAGTTATTGCAGGATAAAGACCACTGTGACTTTTATCGATTCCTCGCGGTCGCCTGTGGATTTTTAGGAAATGTGAGTTATAAACGCCACCAGTGGAACAATATCTCTTTATAGCGTGTTCGACTGTGTCTGATATCGGAATCGGAAAACATGACGGATTTTTCTCTCGGATTTTTTTTTCGCGAAAGTATCGCATTTTTAGAAATATTACTTTTTATCGAACCATTAACATGTATCATTGTTGCGTTATGCTTTGTAGCATAATGTATATTGAGAATATTTGTTATGCAAAACGGCACATGTTTATATTCAGGAAAAATGGAGTGTTATTGGTTTGTACGTGCCGCTGTGAAAGTTAGAATAAACTAAAAATGTGATATTTACTGGATATCAGTCCATATGAGCGACACCTGTCAGCTTTTTAACTTTTAACACAGCAGTAATAATAGAAGAGCCATTAACTGTATTGGACATCGCGAATAAAACAATTTGGAATCACGATTGATTAAAAGATGTAGTAATGCCTTGCTACATATGCGTTACAATCAATACTTTTTAATCTTTTTGGCGAAAAATATAGGATAAAAATGTTCACGAGAATGAAATAATTAACAAACGTCAGATAAAATATTTGTCTGGATTTTTTTACTCTTTAAACACATATGTCGCTAAATATGTAACGTTAGAAAATATATGTATAACTCTTGAGATTTTTACATTTAACGAAAATTATGAAATCCCTTCTTTTCTGCATTTTTATATCTTATGTTTACGTTAAAGAAATTCAATCGGCTTGAAATTAAGTGAACGTTATTAGTTGCGTCCGGTCGTGGTTATAACTTACCCTGTATTACGCCCGCTTTAGAATCTTCTCGAGACGATGATATACGTATGCGAGCTACTGACGCACGAGCCGGAAGGCGGCTCGGCCATGATACCCTTGAGGATTTTCCTGGATCTCTATGGATATCTGGCGGATCTCGATTGCGGCGGCGAGCGTCGCAAAGCCGAGCGCGCCGATTTCCCGCGCGACGCGACAACGTCCGTTTCGAAGCCGTCGTCCGGCACGATCGATTTGACGACGAGAGCTCGCAGCTGCGAGTTCACAGCGACGGAAGAGGTATCGCGACATTTCTCTTCCAGTTGAATAAAATATCCGGCCTGACGCGACTCTCGTTCAGTAACTCGGGGTAACTTTTCATTTTATCTCATCGGATCGCGCGAAAAAATCGCTTCGGCGACCATTAATAAGATAATTCTATAGAATATCCTATTTTTTTACCTCTCTCTCTCTCTCTCTCTCTCTCTCTCTCTCTATCAGAGGATTTATAACTTTACGAGTAAGAAATAGGTCAATTAGGAAGAAATATGGGAAGAAATCCTGGAAATTTGCAGAAAGTCAACTCGTTGTTTTTCGTGAAATTCGAAATTAATCTTTATAATGCAAAAATATCGAGAATGAGCAACATGTGCAAAGATTCCATTATTACATGTGTAATAATTCGAGATACGATTCGTATAACATTTGATACCTAAATACTGCGTACAAGGACATTTTCTCAGGAATAAACAATTTATATATATTTGTCGTTGAAATAAATATAGACTAGATTTATATATGATAATATTTTGATTCTGACAATGAGCAGATTTGACATTTATTTATAACTCATGCACGCACTAGTGAAGCTATTTGGATTAAGCATATATAACATGCACTTTAACCGAGCGCTACATTGTAGTTTTGTGGATATAATTATAACAAAGTTATAACTGTCTTTCTCTAAAGAGAACAATGGGAACATGTTCATGTACTTCTGCATATTTTATAATGATTTAATAATTGCAAGGCGTATTTCTCTTTATTTGGTGTATGTTTAAAAGGAAACTTGCGACGTTTTAATCGTTATGTGACACAAATTCACCTTTATTAATTATAATATAATTTAGCAATATTTAAATAACTGATTAATTAAGGCATTAATATGACATGCTAATAATTCTCTATTTTAACGTATAAATATTAAATTGATACATACATTTAGTATTATGCTAAAATAAATAGATCGCAATATATGTTGGAATCGTGATATGGAAGTTACAGTTGGGAAATTACAGGCATGTAATAACGCGCGCGTGATGAGTAAAATTTAATAAATTTTCGGAGTAAAATTTTGCCAATAAGCTTGCGTATGCGCGGAGTAAGCTGCTTTCGCCATACAATATCCACTCTGGACTGCTAACTACTTCTCATTACAAGCAGTACTGCATATTTCATATACGCATTTGCGTTTCGGACCCGCTTTTCGGAGCAAGCGCAAAATTAACCGGTTCACATGAAGATTACGGAAAATATTAACAACTTTGTGCAACTTTCTACGGAAGTGACTTGGAAATTTCTGAATTAATGCATCGTGATCGTGGACTTTACGCGGCACTGCGATAATATAAGTCATATAAGAAGATTATAATCCATGTTGTGTAAAATACATTAAATGAAACGCGTTAAATCAAATCGCGAATATTAAACATATCTGTATTCAGAATATATGTATGTTGTTTAATAAGATATTAGCTCTTTTAGTATTCATATGCTTTTGATAATAGTTTACATTTTTGAAAATTTCGTATTTTTTCAATAACATCAGCATCGCCAAATCTTAAAGTTTTGACAGTATTAGAAATTGACACGCAACATAAAATTTTGTCAAATATAAATTTAAGTTACATTCAAAATTATTTATTTAATGAGAATGTTAACTATCAAATTTAATTGGATTGCATGGCGAAGAACCATATAATTAGCTTTGTCGAAACTACATTAAATGTAATGTAGTTAGACAGATAATTTCCTTTTGTCGACGTTTCGACTTTATTGAGCGATCGACTCGTATTCAATCAAGCACGTATCAGGAGGAGGCGAGAAGCACTGACGAGGATGTTTGCGGGAAAGCGCTTCGCGAAAAGCGACCTTCGGAAAGCCTCGAGATCTTGAAGGATTACGGGGATGACCCGAAGCACTCCGACATCGACATAGTGTTGGCGAGACAGTCTGTCGCCAGCGATAAAACCGAAATTGAGATCGAATCGATTGATGGTCACGTTTTCCGAGGAAGGACGAACGAGGTATGCCCGTCGGGCACGCTGGAAAAACGCCGGAAAAACGATCAGTCACTTTGAATTTTGTGACCGGGCGATTACGTCGTAAAATATACGGGGTATCCCACTGTGTATCTTCATCGATTTGTGAAAAGTAAACTTTGATCTCGATAGATGTACTCTTTGTGCAATGACAATATGTGTAAAGAAGTAGCATTTAGATATTTCCAAACACTTGAAAATTTTCCGAGGGTGCAGTCTACGTGTAAACTTTTTATTAATTTTTTTATTAAATAGTTATACGTGAAATTTAAGCAACTTTATTATATTACACGCTGTTTGTTAAATTTCAATTTCTCATGATAAACAGTTGAAACATTGTTTAGTCAGCGGTCGAAACGAAGTTCGAGGATCTTGATCTCGCTCCTTCAATCATCGATCACGTCGAGCATAATGGCGATACTACCGAGAGCTTTCGGAAACGCGACGATGAACAAGAGACAACTGATGATGCATTCGGGTTTAACTTGGAGAGCGAGGAGAGAGTCGTGAGCGAAGCGGAAGCGTTCAACTACGAAACTACGATTACTCGGATCGATCCCGAAAACTCGTCGGAGATCTACCTCGGCAAACCCGAGAGCGACCAGACGCCACCGCTCGACCCGCTGAAAGAGTTCCTGAAGAGGATGCGGGCGGAGGTGGAGGCGGGTCGTCTGGAAACAATCTTCCGGGTATCTGGAATCGGTCCGCCGGTGTCGCCCGAGCGTGTAACAGCTGTTGGACTGTGGCTGGCGGACTGCGCGCGTCGCCAGGAGGGTCTGGTCGGGCCGCGTAATATCCGACACTTTCTTTGTCCGAATCTCGATGATATTCTCGAGTGTGATTGCACATAACTATCGTAAAACGTTTCTTCCTCACAATATGGCGTTTTTCGCGATCGAAGCAATCGGATTGAAGTGATTTTTAATCGTAAGATTTTTTTTTATTAATGAAAGTATAAGCTTTTACATAATATGTTAGTCATGTTACAAAGAATAATGAGAGAATAAGATTTAAAAGCTTCTCAATGTTGAAAAATATTATCCGTATTTTTTTTTCATGAAATAAAAAATTCCTTTAAGTATAATTGCGAAATTATTCTAGCATTAATTTCAATAATTTCATTATATTGAAGAAGTAATAAGTTCGATCCACCTTTCATATGAGATTTCTAATTATTATATACAAATTAGCTGCCTGTTGCATTCTACGTTGCGTTTCATTTGTTATATAATCATCGGTATTGTATAATTACCTTTGATATATCATGTACGGGATTGCGGTTGAAACGTTAACAATATATCGAATAACATTTATCTTGATGATTATTATCGTAAAAGAACGAGTAGCCAGCTTGAAGAACACGTGCAACATTAAATTATAAATCGTTGTATCGTTCACAATTTTCTGCTTATTCGTGTTTCTGTCTTGTTGCACGTACAAGAAAAGTACTAATAGAAAACAAGTAATGGAAGAAAAGTAATAGATTCCGGTGACGAGACAGAAATACACGTATAAAATCTATCGTCTCCTCCAGCGCAGCGGAAGTGATCGATATTCTTTGAGGGCACGTGTCCGTTATTTTCCGTAACCGTCTGTTCCAGCGTGCGTTTTGTCAATTCGCCGTATTGGCTACCGTATCAGTAACAACAACTCGACAATCGATTATTGGTCGAGTTATTATTGGTATCACGGTTGCACAATATTGACGTATGCCGGTCAGCTCCAGGGTTCATAACCCACTCACTCTACTCGCACCCGCCTCTTCTAGCCCTATGGGATTTACTTTGATATCAAGCGCTATCACACGATCGCGCTGTCGAAACAAACAGTGTACGACAAGCACGTGCCCATTGAGTGTGCTGCATTCTCTTTAAGGGTGGCGCAAATGGAGACTGCCACTCTCGCCACTTCGACTACGAGAGGAGGAGGAG